TCTCGTTATGGCAACAAGTCTCAACAAATCAGGTATAGAAGGAAAGTATCTCAACATAATAAAAGCCATATATGACAAAGCCACAGCTAACATCATCTTGAACAGGGAAAAGTGAACACTTTTCCTCTAAGAACAAGAACAAGACAGGGATTCCCCACTCTCGCCACTCCTACTTAACATAGCACTGGAAGTTCTAGCCAGAGCAATTAGAAAAGAGAAAGAAATAAAGGGCATCCAAATTGGAAAAGAGGAAGTCAGATTGTCCCTGTTTGCAGATGACATGATCTCATACATAGAAAAACCTAAAGACTCCACCAAAAAACTCTTAGAGCTGATAAACAAATTCAATAAAATTGAGGATATAAAATCAATATACAAAAGGCAATAGCCTTTCTATACACCAATAACAAACTAGCTAGCAGAAAAAGAAATCAAGAAAGCAATCCTTTCTACTATGGCTACCAAAAAAAATAATACCTAGAAATAAATCTAACCAAGCAGGTGGTGAAAGATCCCTACAATGCAAACTACAAAACACTGATGAAAGAAATTAAAGAGGACACAAAAAAATGGAAAAATATTCCATGCTCATGGATTGGTAGAATTAACATTGTGAAAATGTCCATACTACCCAAAGTGATCTATAGGTTCAATGCAATCCCTATCAAATTACCAATGACATTTCACAGAAGTAGAAAAATCAGTCCTAAAATTCATACAGAACAACAAAAATCCTTGAATAGCCAAAGCAATCCTGAGTAAAAAGAGGGCAAAGCAGGAAGCATTACACTAGCTGACTTCAAATTATAGTACGAAGCTATAGTCATCAAAACAGCACGGTACTGGCAGAAAAACAGATGCATGGACCAACAGAACAGAACAGAAAGCCCCGAAATAAACTCATGTACTTACAGCCCATAGACCTTTGATAAAGGTGCTAAAAAACATGCATTGGGGAAAGGACAGCCTCTTCAAAAAATGGTGCTGGGAAAACTGGATATCCATATGTGGAAGAATGAAACCAGACCCTTATCTCTCACTATATACAAAAATCAACTCAAAATGGATTAAAGACTTAAACAGAAGACCTGAATCTATAAAATTTCTAAAAGAAAACACAGGGGAAATGCTCCAGGCTATAAGACTTGGCAAAGATTTTACAAATAAGACCTCAAAAGCATAGGCAACAAAATGAAAAATAAACAAATGAGATTTTATCAAAGTAAAAAGCTTCTGTGCAGCAAAGGAAACAATGAACATAGCAAAGAGACAACCAACAGAAGGGAGAAAATATCACAAACTATGCATCAGCAAGGGGCTAAATGCCATAATACACAAGGAACTTAAACAACTCAATAGCAAAAAAACAAATAACCCAATTAAAAAATAGGCAAGGGAGGCTCAAAAGAAGACATACAAATGACCAACAGGTATATGAAAAAATACTCAACATCACTAATCATCAGGAAAATGAAAATCAAACCACACTGAGATAACATCTAACCCCACTTAGAATGGCTATTATCAAAAAGACAGAAAATAACAAATGCTGGCAAGGATGTGGAGAAAGGGGAACCTTTATACATTGTTCGTGGGGCTGTGAATTAGTACAGCCATTATAGAAAACAGTATGGAGGTTTCTCAAACAACTACTGATAGAACTACCATATGACCCAGAAATCCCACTAATGGGTATATACCCAAAGAAATGTGAAACATCATGTTGAAGGGATACCTGTACTCCAAAAGCTCTGTATGGAACCAACCTCAATACCCATCAACAGATGATTAGATAAAGAAAATGCTGTACATATATACAATGAAATACCACTCAGCCATTAAAAAGAATGAAATTCTGCCATTCACAGCAACATGGATGAGCTCAGAGAAAATTATGTTAAGTGAAATAAGCCAGGCAAAGAAAGAGAAATACCTCATGTTCTCAGTCATATATGGGAGCTAAAAAAGAGAACAAAATAAAACAAACTAAATAAATAAGTAAGTCAAACTGTTAAAAGTTGGGCCAGCCCGGTGGCGCACTGGAGAATGCACCGCTTGGGAGCGTGGCGACGCTCCTGCTGAGGGTTCAGATCCCATGTGGAGACCGGTCCACTCACTGGCTGAGCGCGGTGCGGGCGCAACACCAAGGGTTGCAATCCCGTTGCCGGTCCCCGGTACAGGCGCGACACCGAGGGTTATGATCCCGTTACCGGTCAGTAAAAAAGACAAAAAAGGAAAAAAAAAAAACTGTTAAACGTAGAGAGAAGAACTATGGTTACTAGAGGCAAGAAAGGGAAGGGAGGAAGACAGATAATGAGACTGACTAATGGACACAAAAGTACAGTGAGATAGGAAAAATAGCCCTATTGGTGTACAGTCAACGTAGGCCATCTATAATCAATAATGATTTAGTACTTGCAACCAAACTAGGAGAGATCAAATGTGCACATCGCAAAGAAATGATTAAGTTTCACAATGATAAATTACCCAGAATAGATCAGCATACATTGTATACATGGATTGAAATATAACTTTGGAGGGCCGGCCCGGTGGCGCACTGGAGAGTGCACAGCTTGGGAGCGTGGTGGCACTCCCACCGAGGGTTTGGATCCCATGCGGAGACCAGTTCCCGCTCACTGGCTGAGCGTGGTGCGGACGCAACACCGAGGGTTGCGATCCCGTTGCCGGTCCCCGGTATGGGCACGACACCAAGAGTTGCGATCCCGTTACCGGTCAGTAAAAAAGACAAAAAGAAATATAACTTTGGAACCCATAAATATGTACAATTGGTAAGTTTTAATAAAAACTTTTTTTAAATAAAGAATATCTGAAGACATTCAATCTCAGATACCATCATGATTAGCAAAAATGTAACAGCTTGACAATGCCCACTGTTGACAAGCTTGCAGGGAAACAGGCACTCTCATACATTGCTGGTGAGAATGCAAAATGGAACGTTTGGTGATATTTTAACAAAACTACATATGTATTTCCCTTTCACCCAGCAATTCCATTTGTAAGAATTTACCATGAAGTATATACTCTGAATAATATGAAAATACATTTACACAAGATTATTCTTTGCTTTATAATTTCTAATTACAAAATATTGGAACCAATCACAAAGCCCATTACATCAGAGGCTGATAAAGTAAACTATGGTATGTCCCCTAATGGGGTACTATGTAGCTGTCAAAAATAGAATACAGGAGGCATATTTTGTTAACAGTGAAAGAAACGAAAAATAAGTGACTGCATATGGTAAGATTTTTGTATAAAAAAGAGAGGGAAATAAGAAAATATACAAGTACAATACCTATTTTCGCAAAAAGAAAAACAGTAAGGATAAACCAGAAACCAATGATACTGGTCACCTACAAGAGGAAGGTGGGAATGGGGCACAATGGATAATGGGGTGGGATTAGTGACATTTCTCTGAGTATTCCTTAATGTATAATTTTGACTTCCAAAAGCAAGTTATGTTTTACATACTCAAAAATAATAAAATAAAATACACAGGATGAGGCAGGAAAAACTGAAGTAGAATACAAACAGAAACAAATGATTCTTACAGTATTTCAAGAAAAATAACATAACCACTCAAATAAACCTGAACACAACACTCTGACTACATACTCTCTGTTTAAAAACAAAGAACTGCAAATACTGAAATCTAGGTTAAAGAAAAAACAAGCCTAAGACTGTCACAGTCGTATGGGTCAGCAACTTTGAAACTGCTTTCTGTGTATTACAGGATAGAATAAGAAAGTAAGCACACTGAAGATGGGAGAAGCTCCCAGAAGAGGTACACATAAGAAAGGGGAGACTAGAAGGAACCCTGTGGTGCTGAGCTGGAACAAAATGAGAGCTGTCATTGTCATGGTTTTTAATTTATAGATGCATGTGTATGTATTATAACTGACGATATGTGTGTACGTGTTTTACATAAACATATTAAACCACGGTCTGCATGCCAACTCACAGCTCCCTCATTCTAGTTACAGTCCTTTACAATAACCAAGATATCCAAGGTTGAGAGAGACTGAGGTCATTCTAAGACAGGCCTGTTTAAGCCCAGGCTTGATATTGATCCTTCCCCACATTATGACATCACAACATTCCTGTAAAGGACATAACGACCCCCAGGTAGACAGCACCGTTCTTCCTAACCTTTGTATCACCAATAATAGCACAGTGCTTGGTGAATAGTAGGCCATCAGTGTTTTTTCCTTATAAACTGACAGAACAACATTCCCTAAGCACTCAGACTGATACTTTTCCTCATGTCTCTTGAGACATGCATACAGGCCCTGGATTCAGCAGCTGGATGGCCTATTTCATAAGAACTGCTCTACACACCAACTATCTAAGCCTAGATTATACTCTGGTATAAATCACAACATTACGAATAAAGAAGGCACCTGTGCATTCAGGGACAACAAAGAAGTAAAACAGAAACTTTACGCAACTGGAAAAGTTTCAGATAATAAGCAAAACTGTTCTCGAAAGGAACAAAAGCACTGAACCCCCAGTGCTTAGCACTGGCCTAGAAATCTGTTGATTTATTGAAAGAGAAGCCATATCATCTATAAGTACATAGAGCATCCAGAAAGCCCCAGGTGATTCACTAAACTTTGATGGTATTCAACAAAAAACTGAGGTATCTCATAAAAAAATATATATCGATTATCTTATATCCTGAAAAACAACAAAAAAAGCCTTGTGTGGGTATTTCTATCTCTAGCACTATTAGCAATTACAACTCATATAATTAAGAAAAATGTATTATTACAGTTCAGTTGGTTAGAGCATGGCATTAAAGCATCAAGGTCAAGGGTTTTGGATCCCCAAACAGTCAGCCGAAAAAAAAAAAAAAAAAAAAAAGAAATGTATTTCTTACACTTTAGAGTCTTCTATAGGGCTACACGTGAAACCTTACACCTTGCTACTGTGAAGTACACAAAAAATGAAGTCATCAAATGTATTAAGAATGTACCTACCTGCAACATATCATCAACCATAGTTAGTATGTACTGAACCGTCTGTTCTTTGGAGATATGAGTCATCAGATTTATAAATGTTTTAGCACACTAGAAAAAAATGAAATGAATGTTAATTATTGTTTTCATTTGCACACATTTTAGTAGAACTTCAGTAAAGCACTGTTTCTCTTTCATAAATCAGGATACAGATGCTATTAGCAGATTTTTTTTCCTTGATTTTCAGGGGAACGGGAGGGGCAGGATTGGGGGTTCAGGGTGGGGTGGGGGCCCTATTAACAGATTTTAATTACAGAAAATGTATACTTTTTACAAATGTCTGTTGTGATGAAGTATGAGAGAACCTTACTAAGACTTGCATCAGATTTGTGATCATTTCCAGCGGTAAGTTTCAAAATGCTTACTATTTTTAAATAGACATATCTAGCCACTATTAACTCTTGAGTATCCAGGATAACATAAAGTTAAGTAGACAACCAAAAATTATAAATTGGTTTTAAATATTTTGTTTTATTTTTTATTTTATTTTTTGTACTTATGGAAAAGCAGAACACTAAAGCAACAAGAGTATTGAAGATCAGAATCAGAAGGCTTTGATCTGCCTCCATTCTGCAACATATCATCTATATGACAATCTCTGTGGAATTCATAGAAACCAGAAGCCACTATGTTACCTACCAGTCTGCCCAGGATTCTTGTGACAGTCACACCAAGCTATATATAGGCTCCTTCAGCCAACCAGGGCCCTGTATCAGAAAATCTGATAGGCAGTGGAACTGCATCTTATCCTGGGGCCAGGTTCTAAACTCAGCATATACATCAAATAAAGCACAAAACTACCCATAAAATCCTTTAAACAACCCAAAAAACATAGCTTGTACGCAATACCATTTAGTTATAGGTTTGAAGTCATACTTTGAAAAACCTTCCAAACTCTAAGGGCATATAAATTGAAGTACAGTTCATCCATTCAATAAATCCTCAGTGTAACAAACAGCATGTAATGAAGGCCATGCTATAGGAAAATGTATACCTTAACAAATTCATACTTATTCCTGAACTTATTCTATATCTGTGAGTCATGTCTTCCATGGATACATAGCCCACTTATCATACTGAATATTGGAACTGAAAAGATTCCAAAATTAATACCTGTAAAAACATTCACATTACTTAAAAAGTTAACAGTAATAAATAATTGGATTTTTTAATCAAAACATTAAAGTGGAAATACTTTAGCCTTTTTTAGTAAAAACATATAAATTGCCTGTAGCATTTTTGTCACGCTCTTCTTTTTGGATACACTGCCATTCTGCTTGGGTAAAACCACACATGTATTTCCCACAACCACCCCGTAAAAGGTCTATCACACCAGACATGCAATTAAGAAAGAACTATTTTAAACTCCTTAAGGGGAGAGTCTGGTTTTACTAACATTATTTACACTGCACATGATAGGAACTCAGTATGCATGTGTTCACTAAACACCGAATGAGATATACCTTTCAGTCCATATGAAGTTGGGGAGGGAAAGCTTTTTCAAAAAGATGATACCATAGGCAGACATCACAAAGGAAAGAAGGGAATAGATTTCATTGCACAATTTAGTCTTCAATATGGCAAAGTGCCCCATAAACAAGTTAACAATTCAACCAATAAACTGGGAAAATATAGAATACACAGAGCAGGTATAGTAACACATAAAGGAATCTGAAAAATTAATAAGAACAGTATAAACACTTCCACAGAGAAGTAAATAAAAAATATATAGAAGCAACCATATCAACAAGGAGCCAAAAACCACTCAATAATGTGCAACACTGTTACATTAAGATACTATTTTTGACCTATCAAAATGACCGACACACAAAGAGGAATAGTTAGACCCAGGGTGGACACCGGGCAGAAGCATGGGCATGCTCATATACTGCTGGCAGCCACTGCAACTAGTACAACCCCAAGAGGGTGTTTTCATAATACACATCAAAACTCTCATAAACATTCAAATTGTTTGATCAATAACTACATTTACAGAGTTCATTATGAGAAAATAAGAATGTTCACCTCAAAAACTGCTTATAAGAGAAAAAAAAAATGGAAGTAACCAAAATATATAACAGTAGGGAATTGGTTTAGAATATTATGACTCATCCATTAAATGAAAAATTACACAATTATTTTAAAAAGCTTTATACGCATGGGGTGGGAAATATATACAGTTAAATGAAAAGAACAAAACCATGTATATCAACCCATTTTTGTAAAAATTCATGTTTATATTAATAAGTATGTGAGTAAAAAGTTCATGTTTACATTAATAAGTGTGTAAGTAAAAAGTTAATGATTATATTAATGAGTGTGTAAGTTATATATGCATAGAAAAATGTCTAGAGAGGAATAACACAGGTCATCTTGAATAGAGGAATATCAGGTAGAATAATTCTTATTTTTTTCTTTTGGCTTAATAGTACTTTCTTATTTTTCTACAACAAATATGTATCACAAAAGGTTAAACATCAATATATGCAACTATATAAACATTTTAAACTACACTATATGAAAAAATCACAAAACAATTTCAAGATTAACAGTACATAAGAAAATGTTTGCTACAAATGTGTGCTACTAATAGATTTTCTATGTAAAAAGACTATAAATCAATCAAAAAGTATCAGAACTTTATAGATTAAAATAAAATAGACATCCCCCCCCAAAAAAAAATTCAAAAGAGATACAAATACAAGAAAATGTTTGCTACAAATGTGTGCTACTAATAGATTTTCTATGTAAAAAGACTATAAATTAATCAAAAAGTATCAGAACTTTATAGATTAAAATAAAATAGACATCCCCCCCCCAAAAAAAAATTCAAAAGAGATACAAATATTTAATAAATCAATGTGGAAAAAATGTAATCCCATGTAATCAAAGTAATAAGACATCGTTTTAACCTAGCAAATGCAAATATTTTTAATTATATTTAGGCATTTCAAACATTACTAGTGAGAATACAAAGTGGAAAAAATTTCCTAAAAAAAAAGTTAAGAAACTTCTAAAACTTCATATACTTTGAAACAATAATTTCTCTTTTAAGTCTATTCTAAGAATATAATCAGGGGCCGGCCCGGTGGCGCACTGGAGAGTGCACCGCTTGGGAGCGCGGCGGCACTCCCGCCGAGGGTTCGGATCCCATGTGGAGACCGGTTCCCGCTCACTGGCTGAGCGCGGTGCGGGCGCAACACCGAGGGTTGCGATCCCGTTGCCGGTCCCCAGTACGGGCACGACACCGAGGGTTGCGATCCCGTTACCGGTCAGTAAAAAAGACAAAAAAGGAAAAAAAAAAAAAAAAGAATATATTCAGAAAAGCAGAAAAGGACACGGGTATAAACATACTCAATGACACAGGGAAGTGTTCGGGATATAATGTTTATTATCAATCACCTGGCTGCCTTCAGTTTGAAGCATCTCTTGCTTCTCTTCAGGACTTCTTTTCATTTCAAACCTTTGAATAAATTCACAATCTTCTGCAGAAATCATCTGCCCCCTAGAAAGTAAGAACAAGTTGGTTTTTGTTCAGTAAGAGTTGAACAGCCAGCCACTGTGCACAAGTCCTAAAGGAATCCCCAGTCTCTCTCCTCTTTCCTGGGCGGTAAACCACAGAGGTTGATGCAGAGAGCTGGCATCAGACAGACCTGGGCTCAAGGGTTAGCTCCACCACTTAGTGATGGTGCAACTTCTCTGGAATCTGTGTTAATTTATGTGCAAAATGGGAACAATAATCGCATTGCCTTTCAGGGGTTGTACTGAGGATGAAACTACACAATTCACATAAGGTAGTTAACACAGCACCTGGCCCATAGTAAGTCCTCAATAAAATGCCACTACTTAGCATTATCCAAAGTCTCACCCTTATTCCTCCTCCTAAGCCAGACAATTTAGTTGGCTTTCTAAGTTATCAAGTCCAAAGCCACTTTATTTATAAACTTCTGCAATTATTTTCTCCAGTATATTCCTTCCCACCAGAACAAAAAAAAAAGTGATCTTCCTCCTCTCTGAAAAATAACTTCTTGCTCCTAACCCCTGTCCTCTCAGCAATCACCCCACACTATCCTGTTTTCCTCCATCTCTTCCAGGAGTCCCTTCGTCACCAGCCCTTCGCTCTTCAAGGCATCTCCCCAGGGCTCAATCTTTCGAATCTTCCTTTTCTTTCCCAAATTCTTTCCTTCAGAGAGATTCAAATCAACAGTCCCATCTTCTCTCTCTCCCAAACCATCTCCAACTGTCTTCTACCTCCCTGTAGACGTCTTAACCATTTTCACACACTCAGCATCATCACCACCAAAACGGTCATCTTCCCTTCCAGACCAGTTTCTCCAGTCATCAAAGACTCAAACGCATCACAGTAAACCCCCCATTTTCATCTCTAAATACAGACCCTTCCTTGTTAAAAGACAAGTCAGCAGAACAGCTTTGCTAGTCTAGTCTCTGTAAGACTCTGGGCACTTCAGGATTCTTTGCATCAACTCTTTCAGGCTATCAGCAGCTTGACTCCCTAAATGGGCATTTATGCCTCAAGTCTACCACTGACTGTGTATATGTCCATGAGAAGTTTGCTGGCCAACTAGTGTTCACTAACAGAAGACTATGCCTTTGTTCTGGGGCTACATCTCTACTGACTTGGTCATTTTAACAGCTGAGATTTGTTGGTATGGGCTACAAGCACACAAGAATAGGATTATAAACCCTTGTAGATAATCATCCACTGTTGCTCCATGATATTAATATCAGAAAACTGAATGTCTAACATTCAGTATCAAATGCTGCATTCACATGAACATTCTTCTTCTGGCTGCACCAGGAAAAAATGCCTTGAACACCTAAACAAATCTCTAGGCAACACCAGGATAAAAGCCTTTGCCTGGCAGAGAAGACCTGAAAACTTGCCCTGGTTAACAACAAACTTGCTGTGTGATCTTAGGCAAGCCATTAAATCCCTCTGGGCTTCAATTTCTCCCTTTGTAAAAGGAAGGAGTTAGGTGAGCAAAAAAATGTCACACCTAGAAGGTCAATGCTGAAAGAAGCAATGAGAAAGGGTGTGGTCAGAGGAAGGCTGGCTGACCAACCACCCAGAAACCTCTCCAAGGCTGGTATCACCTTGGTCAATAACCCTAATCTCGGCCTAGTTTTTGGCCTTTTAATTCCAGAAATAGGACTTCATAATATCCAGAGAGGTGCAGACATTCTGTGATGGTTCTGTGCTAACCATTTATCAAGCTCACTGTCCATTTATGAATTAATAATTGAAATCAGAATGCCCACATCCCCCAAACAGGTACTACTTCCAGACTCTTCCTATTATCAAGTGTCTCAGAAGCTGAATTAGGCATTAGAAGGTTGTTCTATGAGCATGGACTTAAAATAAAGAGAAATGAATAGCCAGGGAGAGAAATTTCATCCCAGCTATAGTAAATCAGGCAAACTAGCCCTGCCTACAACAAAGAACCCTCTTCTGGTGATCAAATACATTCAGTGTCTTTATCTTACCACTAGTTTTACCACACTGACTTTTCACTTTCTGTTTCACTGTTGGTCACTTATTATTTATTATATTAGTTTTTAGACTAAGTTTTAATTGAAAAAATTCATTATTTTAGATACGTGGAACAATCATCAATTCACATACAATTCAGCCCTGGGAGACATTTGCATCTCTAGCAGCTAATAACAAACAGGTAACACTCCTGAGTGTTCACTCTGTGTGAGGCCCTGTTCCCAGTGCTACACATAACTTCACTCATCTACTTCTCACAATAATAGCAGGAGGTAAGTAGTAAGTTAGTATCTTCATTTTATAGAGAGGAAATGAAGCACAAAATGGGTAAGTAATTTGCCTAAAGTGCATAGCTAATAAATGGCAGAACCAGGGTTTGAACCCAAGCAACTGGGTTATAGAGTCTGTGCTCTTAACTACTGCTCTCATTTACGTGTAGATCTAATTAGTTTAACTCACAAAGGACAAATTTCATTTCCAAGTTCTTGGGGAATTGCCAACCTATTCAATCCCCTCTCCACCATAAATTACCTATAAGTAAAAGATATTATGTAAGTATTCCATTTTTTCCACTCTACACTTAATGGCATCTTTAGCTAATGCCATCCTTCAAAGATAAAATCAAAAACAAAAAACAAAAAGACAAACTTACGAATGGAATTGAGATTTTTTAGATTTCAGTTTGGGCTAGAGTAGCTGAACTCATTTTTCCTCTAGTGCCTCTCTCTCCAGAGGTATCCAGTAACCCAGGGCTTGTTCCTGTGTGGACAGTACCTACAGAGAAGTTCAGCTCAAGACCTGCTGCTGGGGAACAGGACTCCTGAGTCAGCCTCTCTGGCTTCTCCTCACTGTGGGATGGTTTCTCTGAGGGCAAAAGATAAATCTTTAACTTCTCACCTCAACACTTGCAGACAATTTTCAAAAACAACCCAATGTCCGGAACTGATACCTCCTTGCCACTTACAGTAACTGCAGACACGGTGGCTGCTAAGGGAAGGATATGGGGAAGGGGAAGAACAGGGAAAGGCCTCACTTACATCACATCTCTTGGCCACTTCTGGCAACTCATTCAACAAATATCCCTCTTATGCCAACGATGTGCTCAAAGAGGGGCAAAAAGCCCTGTGGACCCTGATCAAGTTGTGCTTACTATTAGACGTCTCAAAAAGTCATTAAAGAGATGATCACATGAATAAATGTGAGATTAAAACAACAAAAAAACTTCAAAGGCAAGGTCTATGAAAGCATAAAAGAGGGGACCTGATCTATTCTTCAGGGGTCAGAAATAACTATTTCTCTGAGCTATCCAGGTAAAGATCTGAATGAAGAGTAGGAGTTAACCAGGCAAAAAGAGGGTAAGGCGGCATTCCAGGCAGAAGAAGCTGCATGAATGAAGCCCTTATCAGAAGGAAAGAGGGTGCGTTTTAGGCCCTATGAAGAAGGGCAGTGAGGCTAAAATACAGAGAACATTCAGACATGGGGACAGGCCAGATTATGGGGGTGGGGGGTCTACTGTAGGCCACATTAAAGATTATGGTCTTTATCCAAGAACACTGGAAAGCTGTGGAAGGAGAGACAACAGAGTGTGATGTGGTCATTTTTTTTTTTTAAAGAATCACTTATTCCAACTGCTCTGTAGAGAATGGATTGGGGTGTGCAGAGTGACTGTGGGAGACTGGGGAGATAGAGGCTATTGCAGCCATCTGGGTGAGAGATGATGTAGCTTGGGTGGTGGTGGGAGAAATGGTAAGAAGTGAATGAATTCAAAATACAACCTAGAGGTAAAACTAATAGGCTTGGATATGGAGAACGAGAGTGAAGAGGTATCAAGGATTCCCAGATTTCCGGCTTAGGCAGTGGATGGATGATGGTGCCACTCAATGAGATAGGTTACAATGGAAGAGGAGCCAGTTTTGAGGGGAAGACTGAAAGTCCAGCAGAGTCTGAGGTGCTTTGAAGACATTCAAATGAACGTGTTAAATTGACAGTAGGATATACAGGTGTAGAACTCAGTGGAAAGGTTAGTGCTGGAGATATTGATTTCGGGTCATCAGTATATGGAAGACAGTGGGAGCCCTGGGGATGTGTTAAGACTGCCTAGGGAAAACAGAGCACATCTGGAGGAATGACAACATCTCAGAGCTGGAGAAAGGAGGATAAGCAAACTGGAATTACCAGAGAGATGGGGGAAAACCCGGAGTGTGGAATGTCATGGAAGCCAAGGCAACAGAATGTTTCAAGAGTGACAGACATTAATAATAAAAGCTAACATCTACCAAGTCCTAACCATGGCCAGGCATTGTGCTAAGGACTTTGAATACATGAGGGTACTTCAAAAAATCCATGGAAAGAACAGTATTATCTTTCAATTCTGTTTTTCCACGAACTTTTTGAAGTACCCTCATATGATCGAATTTAATCTGCATGACAACCATTTCTCCTTTCACAGATGAGGAAACTGTGGCAAAGAGGTTAAGCAGCTGAATCATGGTCAGGTGGCTGCTAAGTGTAGCTGGGATGTTAGTCCAAGCAGCCTGATCCAAACTCTTTTTTTTTTTTTTTGTGACTGGTAAGGGGAGCATAACCCTTGGCTTGGTGTCGCCCGCACTGCGCTCAGCCAGTGAGCGCACCGGCCATCCCTATATAGGATCCGAACCCGCAGCCTTGGCGCTCCCTGTGCCATTGCGCTCCCAGCACCGCACTCTCCCGAGTGAGCCACAGGGTCGGTCCCTGATCCAAACTCTTAATCACTTTTCTCCACCACTACCTCTAGAGCAGTTTGAGAGGTCACATAAAATGAAGACTGAAGAGTTACCAGTTAGCTCCTTGAAGAGGTACCTTGAAGAGTTAACTCTTTGATCCTCATGACTATTCCATGAGGTGAATTACTTTTACCACATTTCACAGAAGAAATTGAGGCTCACAGGGGCTAAGGAACTTGCCCATAGTTACACAGTTAGCCTGGCTCATCTAAGACTCAAATCAGGTTTTCTTTTTTCTTTTTTTTTTTATAAAGATGATCGGTAAGGGGATCTCAACCCTTGGCCTGGTGTTGTCAGCACCACGCTCAGCCAGTGAGCAAACCGGCCATCCCTATATAGGATCCGAACCCGTGGCCTTGGTGTTATCAGCACCGCACTCTACCGAGTGAGCCACGGGCCGGCCCATTGTCACCTGTTTTATATGCTGAGCTTCCTTATTAGACTTTACATCAACCATGGGTTTCAGGGATTAAGAATCAGCCTGAAAAGCACTGACAGACAGGATCAAGTCCAAACTCCTTCTGATGGCACACAAAACCTTCATGATCAGCCCCTGGCTGCCTCTCCAGCCTCAGCTCTCCCCACTGCCTGCCCCCAAGACATGTATGATTCCCACCCAGCAGGCTGTTTTTGCCTCCCTGCCTTTGCTCACACTGTCTGTTCTACTTGGAAGGCTGCTCCTTCTTGCCACCCGGCTAACTACCACTCACCGTTGAAAACACAGTTCAAGGACCATCGCCTTCAGGAAAACTTCCTGGGGGTAAGACTGGCTATCCTTTTCCTGTGCACCCACCAGACCCTGTGCATCTTTCTATTAGCAAAGTTAACATACTGAATTAAAATGATCTGTTTATACATCTGACTTCCCTTTATGAGCTCCTTTAGAGAAGGTACCCTCTATCTTTTTTGTAGCCCAAATCCTGGAAAAATGCCTCAGACTTGGCAGTTAGTCAATAAATGTGTGACGAGTGACTAAATTAACAGAAATAAAAGGTTCATCTCTGTACACTGCATATCCCTTCTACAACAAAACAAACTGCTAAATATAAACTACAAATTACTAGATTTGTTTTTCAAAATGAATATGCAAATCTGAACTGAATTTCCCTAATAACTTACTCTGTTATAAATATACCAAAATAAACAGATATGAAGTAAAATCATATGATAAAATATGGTCAAGAATGAATAAATGCTTACCTTACAGATAAAAATAGAATACAGAAACACCAGCACACTAAATCTTAATACACACAAGGAGGAAGGAGAAAGAACTAAAATTTATTGGATGTATTCAACATACCAATGCTTATATTCAACTGTGCTAATAACTTTATTTCAGCAACAAGCCTATAGGATATGTATCCCCAGTCACATTTACTTTATTGACTCTCAAAGAAGTTAAGGGATTTGCCTAAGATCAACAAACAAATCGAGAGAACTAGAATTCAAACCCGGGTCTCACAACTCAAACATCTGTGCTTTTTATTAGATGTATAAGCAAATCTGCAACACCATCTGTCCCTATACTGATCACCAGGGCATACTGGGCTGGGCTGGCAGGTTTTGCCCATCATCCTCTTCCTCCCTGCATTGCTCATGAACATTTCTCCCCTACTTTCCACTCATTCAAAAAGCTCTTCTTTCCAGACACAGAAGGTCAAAAGTACCATGAGCACCTTCTTCCCCTCTAGAGCCACAAGCTGTTTCTCTCACACTATGCTATTTCACTAAGACAGCTTATGATTCTGAGGAGGAAGTGTTATTCCACATTTATTAGAGCTTTTCCAGTATTTCTCTCATAGAAGCATGACCATGAAAACGTCTCATGCAAAGGCACATGATTTTCCATGATTCACAGCAAATGGTTACTTACTGAAGATAGGACTGCCAGTTCACTTTGTTAGCACGAACCTCTGCAGCCTTGGCAGCAATGATGTTGGTTGGAACAGCAGCATCCACCGCACCTCGGATATCCATTTTGGTCATCTAAATTTTATGATCTTGAACGTTTTTCAACAGATCTTCAATTTAGATGCAAGGTAAAAACAGAATGCCAGTGTTTTTTTTTTTACAACTATTATTATTATTATTAATATCATCATCATTATCACTTTATCTCCCCAAGCATTCAACTTAAATATTAAATATCCTAAGTCTGGAAGAGCTACCATTATATTTCAAATCTTGACCAATTATGCACTGCTCCATAAAAGTGTTCTCCATAGGCTTTTTTTTTTTTCCAGGAAAGGTTTTTTAATTACTGGCACTTACACTGCAGTGAGATTTTTAAAGTGACCATTTCAGATATACTGACATGAGAAATTATGCTTAAATAAAACAGGTTTACAAAATAAAAAATATTTTAAATTTATACAATTGAGATTAATTTTCCTCTTCTGACAGAAAAAATAAGAATAGAGTACAGATAAGGCCAGTTGCTTTATTAACATTTACTAAGCATCATTTTAAAGCGACACATGAAAAATTATAAATCCTTTCTAAAATTACTCATTCGAAATAATATACACAAAGTGAGACAGTAATTTCTCAGAAGCCAATGTTTTCCTTTTCAACCAAAATTCACAGTATTCTCAAAATCAATTTTGGGAGACATTTTTGGAACAAAATTTATTAAAATTTAGGTACAGCCAACAATGGGAGTCAACAAGAACCTACAATAATGAGCTTCTAAGTAATTCGTACTCCTAAACTTACAGATAAAAGCTTAAGACTGATTTAATCACGACACAAAATACAGGTTCCCGTTCGCAAAATATAATTTCTTGGTCACAGCCACAATGAAGCTAAAACCATATCCACAATTTAATTCCAGGTTCCCAATGACCTCAGTCAGTTTGGAACTTAATCTCTGTATCTGAGGGTTTGCTACCTAAACAAGCAGGAGCAGTGGGGCCTGGCAGGGCTCTGGAAGAAACAGGCCCAGTCCGGGCTAGTCTGGAACTCTGGAACCAAGCAGGCTCAGCCCCAGCGGCCTGCCCTGGGGGAGTTCAAGGTGTCTCAAAACGGTTACCTAAATCCGTAACGACTCGTAGCTTCAGCAGGCCACGGGGAAGGTTTACTTTTTACCCGTTCCTCTCCTCTTCCCTCCCCGCTGCTAACGTCCCTTCCCCCTGCGGGGAGGGCGCTGCAGTTTCGTAAACCTGGTTGCGGCCGGGAAGGAAAGAAAGCTGGCAACCCGGTGCCAGAGGACAAGAGGAGCCGAGCGCCAAGAGACCAGCGCGCACCGCGGGCGCTGGACGCAGGGTCGCCTCGCTAAGGAGACTAAACAACGCGGCGGCGGCCTTGCCTCGAGAAGCCTGGGGACCCTACAACGCACCCGAAAGAGGCAGGGAGGGTGCGGCCGTCCGGGGCGTCTGGGCCACAGCCGGGCTGGTGCACCCGGTCGGCGTCTCCGGCTGGGTCTGGAGGCCTCTGCCGCGGCGGGAGACGCTGGGGTCGCAAAGCAAAGAGAATCTGGCTCCAAGGAGACGTTGAGAGAGGCGCAGGCAGGAAAAAGCCAGAGCGACCGCAGTAGAATGACAGAGGCACCTGTCACGTGACCAGAGGCACGTGACCGCCGCGAGAGACGGGAGCCGGCAGAGTCCAAAACATCTGCGGAGAGGAGATGTTGCGTTAAGGAGCGGCTGGTTCTCCGCGGGCAGTGGGAGCCCAGGCGACCCAGGCGTCTGCGCTGGGGACCCGCTCGCCGGCCGGCCGGAGCAGGAG